CTCATACTCCAATTCAGAACCGTCCACGTGTCACCCACCGCCTTCTGTATTTTTAGGAGTTTTTTGCATTGATGCCCCTCAATCTTTTTCCTTTTTATATTTTTTTCCCGCATTCTTTCTTTTCTCTTTTTATTTTTTTCTTCCTTGTCAAAGTTTATTCTCTTCACTCTTTGGAAACTTTTTATAATATTTAAAAAGACAAAGTTAACAAAGAAGCATCTACTAATAAAGCAAAAAATAATTGGTATATCCTATCTGTGTATGAGAAAATTTAATATTACAAGCAGGTAATTTTTGTGCAGGTGCAAATTAGCATTGTGATTGGGTTGAGCTGCCAATCAAATTGGTAGTTTTAATTTAACTATGTAATGTAAGAAAAAAAAAGAAAAGAAAATGTGCTTTGAACCAGAAATTTAATAAAAAAAAATCATTAGAACAGTTAATTTGAATAGCAATTTTAATATATTGAATATTGTTCATTAACAAATGCTAATAATTTAAATGATTAGCGGTTGAAATTGTTAGTACAGTTGAAATTGTCAGTTTAATAGATGATTTTAATATTGAAACTTAAAGTCTTATTTACTTCGTTCCATTTTTAATAGAAACATTTGATCTTTTCACAAAAATTTAAAAAATGATTGAAATATATTGATTTTTTAAAAATAATGGTAGAATGTCTAAATTGTCCTTCTTAAATTTAAAAACTTAACATTTAGGGTCTGTTCAGAAAAATTAGCTGTTTTGATAGTTGTAAACTATTTTAGTAGGATTTAGCTATTAAGTGTTTGAGTAACTTTTCAAGAAACACTAAAAGCTAAACACGTTACATGAGTTAACTTTTTATAAAATATTATCATTATCTCTAAAAATTAATTTAAACGTTATATTACCGAATAATTTTTTAAATAGTGTTTAATATTTTGACCGGTCAAAACACTAAATACTACTTAAAAAACTGTTTCCAAATATGACCTCAATTTGTGCTATAAAACACCTAATAAATATGTTAAAATTGAAAAAAAAAATAATTAATGTATTTTCAAAATTCTAAATAAATATTTAAAGTGAAATAATGTAAAATCTTTATTTGTTACTATTAGAATAGAACGGGAATAATTTACATTTTCTCAATGAAATTTTTTCAAATTCTGTATCAAATGAAAAAATTCTGTATCAAATCATAAAACTATGTTCTTTCAGTATAATGTAAACTTCGAAATTTGCATATATAATTTATTTTTTCTCAATAACATTTTTTTATCATCAATTATTATATACAGTGAATATTATCATCAATTTTTTTTTTTTTTTTTTTTACAAATGTATTTGCATTTATTACTATTTGTTACTTTTCAGTTTTGAGCTCTTAAATATGAAAATGGTGAAGGATGTGGGAGTAAATATGTTATGAAAATTCCTATGAAACACGAAGAGTTTGGCTTCTGGAAAAGGACCTTAAAAATGAGGTATGAAATGGGAAAAATGCCATGAAATGGAAGAAACTCCCACTGCCACACCTTTCCTTGCTGCGTTGGATTAGAGCCCCACACTTTGACATGTCTTTTATTTGGCAGTAATTACCCCAAAAATTTCAAAAACAAATAAAAATTATTACTTCCAATTACTCTTTAGTCAATCCCACCGATTTTCTTGCTAGAGCTGGTCGATTTATATAAACAAGTACTCTCTCCATTATTTTTATATGGGAACAATTTATTTTTCACTGAAATTAAGAAAGTAGTTAAATTTTTTTTTTTTGATTTTTTTTCTAATTTACCTCTAATATCTATTTTGTTTCTCCTATAATATCAATATATACCTTAAATTATATTTCAATCTTCAGTGAGGCTTTAAATGTTTTGTTGGAATGAAAAAAATTAAGACAATTGTAAAAATGAAGTTTATGCTCTAATCTTTGGAAAGAAATTTATTTTTTGTCCTCTATTGAGAAAAATTGTGTGGAAATATGAAAATTTATAACTTTCTAATTGTCTTTGATCATTAAAAATGTATTTTAAATATTGTGCAAGTTTTTAAATACTCGGTGAAGTCCGTACCAATTTCTTTCAATATGGTCAACTTGAAAATTTTGTAGCCATTTTCTATTCAAACTCCATTCTACTCGGTGTTCGTATAATAAGTACGAGCACATTTTTGTTTTCAATAGAGATTGACGTAACAAATCCATTCACCAAAATTTATTCATATTAAATATTCATCTATACCTTTGTCTCCCACTATCTCGAGAATTTCCTATACTAAAACTTCACAAAAAGACTAAAACAAAGGTAAAATAGATTTTTCACACTGGCATCTCAAAGTTACCAAATTAGACAAAATTTTCTATATAAAAAAAACACCTAAAATAAAAATTTTGACTGAAGTATCCGATCAAAATTGTATTTTTTTTCTATTTTTACATAAGTGGTTTATTATTAGATTTATTGAAAATATATATACTTACATTAATTAACAGTTTGATTTCCAGTTTGATATCTTTTGTTTTATTAATTAACCGTTATATTCACAATAATCTCGTATGAAAATTTGTATTTTTTTCTAAAATGAAATCTTATTTTAATGTTATAAAAATATAAATAATATAAAACAAAAATTATAATAAATATTTTAATATTAAAAAATCAAAACAACTATAAATAATAAATAAAAAATGAGCAATGATATAAAAAAATTGAATAAGTAGGAACAACACGTCATAAAAGACCAGTAATTATCAAAAGCCAAAATCCAAAAGCTTCTCTTTACCTTCTATCATTAAGCTACATTATTACTTGAAAGCTGAAATAAACAAAAACAATTATCATAAATTAACAATCCTCCCTCTGCTCTACAAATTACATTCCATATCTAAAACGACAATCTATCAAGTATGCTCTGAAAACGACATATGAGTGGGAGTAAAAACTTTGAAAACCTAAGCTAAACAAACGCGTAGACGATAAAATCCCATACAAACGACGCAGTATCCAGAAATTAAGCTCATTAGAGGTACAGATGGCCATATTACGGTTCCGGGAACCGGAACCGTCGGTTCGAACCGGTCTGGAACCGTAACCGGAACAGGTGAGAACCGAAATCGGGTCGAACCAGAACTGGAATTGGAGAATTTCGGTTCGGTTCTGGTTCCAAATTTTCTGGAACCGGAATCGGCGGTTTCAGAGAACCGGTAGGAACCGGACTGGAACCGCAGGTTCGAACCGGTTCGAACCGGCGGTTCTAGCCAAACTGTCAGTTTTTTTTTTTTTTATTTTTCTTGTGTGAACCTTGTTGATATTTCGGTTCGTTTCAGAGAACGGTAGTGAACCTGATTCTGATTGATCCTTTTGCAGTGTTTCGTACCGTGTGTCGATAGCCGTTTTGCTGTTGTTTTTGTGTTTTTTTTTTTTTTTTTGTTTTTTGTTTGTTGTTTTTTTTGTTTTTTTGTTGTCTTCCTAGCCAAATCGTCTATGTTTTTTTTTTTAAATTTTTTGTGAATCTCTATATTTATGTTCAATGTCTTAAAAACATAAATTTAATTGAAGTGTAGTTTTTTAATTTGGAGTGCTGTATCTTGTTCATTTTTTTATGATCAATGATATATTTTATTTTAATATCCTGGTCTTCAAATATTTAAAATTTATTGTTTCAAACTTTTTGTTTAAAACAATAAAATTAAAATCAGTTGAAAAATTTTTTTAAATAAAATAATAAATATGTTCAAGTCTTTAAAAAAATAATTTATTTAATTGAAGTACTTTTTTATATTTTTTAAGTGTTTACTTTAAGTTTAGTGTATATCTTAATTTTTTATTTCAAAATATATATTTGTTTTTGTTTTAAAAACCGGGTCTTTCAAAATTTAAAATTTAAAAACCTATGCATCCGCCGGAATAATTGTCGCTCGAGAGCCGCGTGTCGAGCGCGGGTTTTTATGTTCAAATATATATTTTTTTAAAACCGGTCTTCAAAATTTAAAATTTAAAATTATGCGATTCGCCGGAAAATCGATCGGAACCGTCGGTTTGGTCACCATACCGGAACCGGAACCGTTCGGTTCCAAACCGAAACCGGAACCGGAACTTTTCAGTTTGGTTCCGGTTTCAGTTTTTTTGGAACTGGAACCGGAAGGCCACCCCTAATTAGAGGGAGTTACAGCTCAGAAATATGAGTTCCAAGGGAAAATCTAGTCTGCTAACAAAACTCATGGGTTACAGCTATTTTAGTATTTTTATTCTTTGGTGAATTTAATTAAATAACAAAATAATTTATTTTATTGTCCTTTAATTAACTAGTATTTTTTTCAAAATTATGTAAATTATGATGAAATATCAATTTCACTATTAACAAAACTATGAAATTTCTTTTTCGTACCACCACCAATTCATTTTTTTATTTATTAAATCTTGATCATTGTAACTCATTTTTTTATCAAATGAATTAAGTGATTTGAGTTTCGATCTAGAAAAGACTCGTCCATACTTGTTAGAAAAATATAACGAGAACAATTTGAAATTGATTATTGAGCTTGTTTAAAAAATGAACTAATTTTGATTTTGAGCTGAATTTTTAAGCTCAAATCAAATTGGAATTAAATTTAAACTATACTTTTAACAAGTTGAGTTTAAGCTCAATAGAACTTAACTCGATTTTAGTTCCATTCTAAAAATTGCTCGTCCTAATTTATAACTAAACTTAAAAAAAAAAAAAAACTCAGTTTTAGATTAAATATTAGATAATATTTACATTACTCAAGGGAAAAATTGAAATAGATTGTATTTGGCTCTTTTTTTTTTTAATTAATTAATCAAACAATCAGCAAAATTTTAATATAACAATTTTTTAATTGAATAATAATAAAATAAAAAGATTAATTTAAAAAAATAAATATCTCAATTTATAAATTTTATCAAATAATAGGGATGGAATGGTAATTCACGCTATCGAAAAAGAAGAATAGAAGCATATGCAAGAGTTCGGTTATAAAAACACGCGTGAAAAAAAATACAAAGAACCCACAAACAGACACCCAAAAAAGAAAAGAAAAAAATAGAGAAAAGAAAAAGCTCCCTTCTGTTCTCTCTTCTCCTCCTTCCTCTCTCCCCAAAACAACATTTCTAGTTTCTGGGTTTACTCCATTGTTGTTCACTGTTACCTCCCAAAATGGGTAATGAGAGAGAGAAAGAGAGAGGAGTTGGAGGAGGAGAAAAGAAGATGTTTGTCGGTGTTGTAATGAATTGTGCAGCAGAGCTTAAGTTTCTTTTAACAGCTCTTTTAATTCTTTGTAGTGTAGCTACTCTTTTACAGTTTCTTCCTTCTCGTTTCACTATTTCAACTTCCGATCTCCGTTTCTGTATTTCTAGAATCACCACCACTACTACAACCACTACCACCACCACCTCCGCCGCCGACATTAACCCAGATGCCGTTTTAAATTCCTCTTTGGCTTTCTTTTCCAACCCATCACCACCACCTTCTGGTTTACAAGCTGAAAAAGTTACTGTTAATGGAACTCTTAAAAGGGTTTTTAATCCTTATGGTGCTGCTGCTTATAATTTCATTACTATGGGTACTTATAGAGGTGGGTTTAACAGTTTCGCCATTATTGGCTTATCTTCAAAACCTTTGCATTTGTACGCAAAACCTACTTACCAATGCGAATGGGTACCGGAATCTTCCTTTTCTGGCGACAATTCCTCCACCCCCACCCCTATTTTCTCCTCAGCTTACAAAATCCTTCCTGATTGGGGCTATGGCCGTGTTTATACAGTGGTTGTTGTTAATTGCACGTTTTCTCAACCTATCAACAGTGATAATTCCGGTGGGAAGTTATTCCTTCACGCCTCCACATCTGGCGGTGGTGACAAAAACTTTAACATTACGGATAGATTTGAGGTTTTACAAGAAAAACCAGGGAATTTAAACACTACCATTTTTTATTCGAAACCCAAGTATGATTATTTGTACTGTGGGTCTTCTTTATATGGTGGGTTGAGTCCACAAAGAGTAAGAGAATGGATGGCTTACCATGTTAGGTTTTTTGGTGAGAGATCTCATTTTGTTATACATGATGCTGGTGGGGTCCATGAGGAGGTTATGGAGGTTTTGAAGCCATGGATGGATTTAGGGTATGTGACATTGCAGGATATAAGAGACCAAGAAAGGTTTGATGGGTATTATCATAATCAGTTTATGGTTGTTAATGATTGTTTGCATAGATACAAGTTTATGGCTAAGTGGATCTTCTTCTTTGATGTTGATGAGTATATTTATGTACCCCCAAAGAATACCATTAAGTCTGTGTTGGATTCTCTCTCTGATTATACCCAATTCACAATTGAGCAGATGCCCATGAGCAACAAGCTCTGCCTCTCAGCTGATTATGGTAGATATTACAGGTACAAATCATTTTGCTTTATTTTCTTTAGAAATTATTAATTTCCCATCTGTATGTATAGATATACATATATTTATTTGGCACAATCTGAGTAATTATCTGTGGAATATGCTTCTTTTTTTTTTTTTTTTGAGTAATTGGTAGTTTTGATTTTATGTTCCAAGAATTCTGCAATTTCAGTAACTAATGCTGTTTTTAACTTAGGATTTGAAAAATGAAATTTCTTGTGGTTTCACTTTTTCAATGATTGAAATGTCTTTTGAATATTTTATTTCAACTTGAATGTGGAATAAGTGTATAGCTGTAGTAAGGAATTGAATATTTATAACTTTATTTTGGTTGTTTTGTGGAAATTAAAATGTTGAAACATTTGTAACCTTGTGGTGGTTGGTTTGATTGGAATGTTTTGGAACTAATTTTGAAAAAGGAAGTGAATAAATAAATTAACATAATATGATCAAGTGGTGGTTTACATGTTTGGAATTATTCTTGTGGTGTCTGTATTGTGATTCTGAGTCTTTTCATTGTATTGGGGCAGGTGGAGGTTGGGTTGGTTTGAGTGTTTTGTAAAGCTATTGTCTCTTTCTCATTTTATTAGGACCTTGTCAATTCTTTTAGTAATATAGAATCTGAAACAATGTTCAATTACTAACGTTCTGTTCTTCAAGAGGAAAAGCATCAAAAAGAAAATTTCAATTATAGCAGTGAAAAACATCTTGTAGTGATGAAATGAACTTGAAAAAGAAATTACATTGATGTTTTATATTAAGGTTGATGTGGAGGGGACATAAATTTTAATATTGGGATCATTTCTGTTTGTACTGCATTCTATGAAGATCTTTACCTTTTAACCTAAATTATCCTTGATATTGGTTGGGAACCTGTCACTTGAGTTTAATATGGTATAATATTGATTTATCTATCACTTCCATGATTTTGATTCTTGCTGGATATGGGTTTTCTTGCAAATTATGTAACTCGGTTTTTTTTTTGGGTAACTTTGACTTTGATTGAGGTTCAAACTAGTAGTCACGAGCCATTGAACGCTTATAGCACCACCGAGCTAAAACTCATTGATTATAAACTCTGCATTTTTTGATAAATGAAGCACTGTAATTAATGCAGAACTTAGCATTGAAATGAATCTTGCTTTTCTGTTTTATAATTAGTATATGTGATTGTGATGGTGATTATGGTTTGAAACACAGGAAATGGGGGTTTGAGAAGCTTGTATATAGAGATATCAAGAGAGGTATAAGGAGGGACCGAAAGTATGCGATCCAGCCGCGCAATGTTTTCGCAACAGGTGTGCATATGTCACAGAACTTAGCTGGGAAGACAACACACAAAACAGATAGCAAGGTCAAATATTTCCATTATCATGGAACCATAGCACAAAGGCGCGAACCGTGTAGAAACCTTCTAAATGTGACAGAAATCAACTATGAAAACAACCCTTATGTTCTGGATACAACAATGAGAGATATTGCTTGGTCTGTCAAGAAATTTGAGCAGAAGATGATCGGGACCAGGTTACAAAATACGCGGCAATGACAATAATTATATATAAATATGTTCGTTCTTTCATATTTCTTTATAGGTTTTTTTTTTTTTTTCTCTTTTGGTTATTTAAATTGATCTTTGAGTAGAAAAGAGAGATTCATGGGGGGTTTTGTTTTTTGTATGATAAATGTTTCTTTCTTTCTTTCTTCTATTTATTTATGATGAATATAGAGGTGGCATATGATGTTTATACATAATATGGGAGGTGTTGCATTCTTTTGTGTCTATTTATGTATTTTTGTTTCTATACATTTTTTTTATATAGTATTACACAATTTGCATATTATCGAATTCGCGATAGTGAACTGCATATATTGAAATCTAAAGCCGGAAACTTATTTGGGAACCCAATTGGTTAATTCCTTAATGAAAGATATATTTGTCCGGATTGGGTTAACATCCGTCTTTGTATTATATTAATTAAAATACAAAATTTAAAAATTTATTTTTATTTTTTTTCAGTATATAATTAAAAATATCATTCATTTAATAAAAAATTTCTATTTGCATAAAAAATATAATCTATTTAATAAAAAAATTTCTATTTACAAGGAGGAATGTGGATGGATTAGAAAAGTTAATTTGGTGAGTTAAAAGGTATTGTTAAAATTATTAGAGAGACAAATTGAGGAACTATTGCAGAGGAAAAAGGAGTTTGGATATGTCTTTGATTGCTTGTCGGTAAGAGGGCCCACAGTCCCAGTGATCACCAATGGGATTGGGAGGTGGTGAACGTGGTTGGGTTTCCTGCTGGCTGTTCCACTTTTTTTGTGTTGTACCCTAATAATCATATAGGCTTATGCTTTTATTTCTTTTCGGTGATTATACTTATTGACGAGAAAGCTGTATAGATATTTTTTTTTAATTTAATTTTTCTTTACGTGTATTAGAACGAAAGTAAACATTAACATGTTAGTCACAGGCTGTTACCATATCTATTTGATTTTTTTTTTTTTTTTTTGGTTTTTTTTTTTTTTTTTTTTTTTGGGACAAGTCAAATGAAATAAAAACATGTGGGTGATACAGAACTGGACCGTTCTCGATTGTTTTGTCTGTATTTTTATTATTGTTATAATAAAAATAAAGGTCCCTTTCAAATTGTGTCCTGTTGTAACTAATCCATGAGAAAAAAGCAACAAAAAAGAATCTTATTTAAGACGATTCTTCATTAACGAGTGAAAAATGTTGAATTTTGTCAAACACCATAAATGTTAATTGAGGGCAAGTTACTTTCACTTGGCGCGTATAGTCAACCATATATCAAATCAATTTTATAAAAATATTTAGCATATATTTAACTTTTATTGACAAATTTTGAAAGAAAAAAACAAATTAATAGTTGAGAAATTTTCAATTTCAAATCAAAATTAAAATTCAACGGATCCAATTCGGTTTGAATTCTTATTAAGTCATATATGTATTTACCATTAATTCATAGCTTGGTGTGCTTGGTGTAAGTTATGATTCTTATTTACAATATCAAGAGTGGTTAAAATGCTAAAATCACTATTTTAATACCGGTTTTAACAAAAAAAAAAAAATCAAAATTATATAATCGATGTGTAAAAAAATTGGGTTGGTATTTCAGAGGATTGATTTCTTCCTTTTTTGGAACTTATTGAACTAGAATTGTGAATTCAGTAAATCAGAAGGTAAATATATGAAATAGAAAAAATAATTATTTTAATTATTTATTTATTACTCTCTCCACTCTTTTTATATAGATAAATTTTTCTTTTTTGGTTTTCTTTTTATTTGGTAACATTGGAAAAAAAAAATCAATGTGAAAATTCCATATTATACTAGTCTTATTCTTTGTGAAAGTGTTATTACGGGAGATTTTCCAGGTAATGACAGACAAAAGTCTAGATGTGCATTAAAAGTGAAGGAAATTTGCTGATAAAATTGTTATTCTTTTAATTTATGTTGAAAAAATAAATATGGTCCAATTAAGAAAATTGTGCTCTGATTTAGATGGAATTTGAGTTTTACAATTGCACAAAATTTAAAAATAGAGCACAGTTAAGAGTTGCGATTTTATACTTTGGAGTATTTTTTTGTGAAGCTACTCCATATTTAAATTTTTTGATAATTACTCAAGTCTGTTAGAAGATTATTTGAGCACGAAATAGTCCTTTTTTTAATACAACTTATATAAAGAGGGACCAATAATAAATTTTTCTCAAAGGCTAGAGCATAATTTTTTTTTCACTCATTTAATTTTCGGTCGAATTTATGATTTATGTGCATATTTTATAGAATATACTAAATTTGTGAGCAATCAGTTTATATATTAGATCTAATTTTTTTAGGAAGCCAACATATTTACCAAAATTTCAACTGAGAATGCAGAATTGAGTTTCAAAAATTTAAAGTTTTGGAAAGACAATGCATTTATTGTGTTATTCAATCAAAAAACATTATTAAAGGCAATTTTACAATTTAGAGGAGTAATAATGTGATACTAAAAATATATTAGGAAAAAATAAGGAAAAATGGTTTAGTTAAACTGATTTTTTAATCTTGGTGAAAATATGGTTGTGTCTATATAAAAAGAAAAGAAGAAAGTTTTTTAAAGTTTTTTTTTTTTTTTTTTTGAAGGTAGAAGAAAGTATTATAACTACATAAAAATCCCATTGTTTAAGTGAAAAAATAATATTAAAAAAGAAAATAAATTGTTTGGTGGGTGGTCCCATAGGTTCACATGAATGAGAATCGGAAACATTCACCAACAATTAATAAGTTGTGTGTTTATTAAATTTCTGCCGTTAGATGAATGGAATGACGTTTATTAGAAAACAAGAATTTAACAATTTATCTTTATGACAATATGCATATCCAACGAACGGTGTTGGACTCTCTTCTCCTCTCTTCTTTTCTCTTCTCCATACAAAAAAACTCTTCCAACTGTAATATTCCCTGCCACGCTCTAATGTTTCACTTGTGCTGCTTCTTTAAAGCTCCTACAGCTATTTGAAAGTGACCATTTATTAGTACGTGTAAGAATTTTAAAAGGTGGTCTGAAGTGATAAAATTAAAAATTACATGAATATTTTGTCAATTTTTTCATTTAATTGATAAAAAAGGTTTTTATTCATGAAATTGATAAATTTCATCATTTAACCACATTTTGGAATTAAGATAACTCTCACCTTAATTTCGTCAATTTTCTTTTAATGATACAATTCAAATCTCTTGATCACTAAAAATACCCTTCAAATTAATGAATTTTGTTTTCTAACCAAACAATAAAATTTGAGATTTCATGAAATTTAAAATTCTATTAATTTTGTAAAATATGTGTTTGGCACGGCCTAACCTTCAATTTTACCCCGAACTTTTTGAATAATTGCAATAAATTGAACTTTATACCCTGGGCACCTTGAACTTATCAACCTAATTGCAATTATACTCTAATTTGCTTTTAGAGTATAATTTCACCCTAAAAGTGAATTACAACAACTTGAACTTTGTCAATTTGTTGTAATTGCACCCGAAAAGTAAAGGAATGTTGAAATTTTGATTAAAATAGTGTAGAAAAATGGACTTCATATCCAAATATTTAAACAATAAATAATAAAATTAAGTCCAAGTATTCATATAAATAAAAAAAAATTAAAATTGAACCAATTTTAAGGTGTAAAAATAATTGGTTGGATATTTATTCAAATTAGGGTGCAATTGCAACTAGATTGATAGTTTAGGAAAACCAGAGTACAAAGGTCGATTTAAGGTGAAGTTGTAACTACTTGAAAAGTTTGGGATAAAATTAAAGGTTAAGCCCCTAAAATCTATGAAACCTAAATTGTTAAATCAATGCTCGATCATGTTAAAATAAAAAAATAAAATTCAGTGACTAAAAAATAACAAATTGAAATTATGTGCAATGTCTGGTGATTAGTGTGTGATAGAAGTATATAGAGATTATAATTGTACATCTATAGCAATTAGGGTTAATTGATTTTCTTCAATTTTCTTTTTTTGGAAATAATAAAATGATGGGTATGAAAGTGAGATGGCATGAAGGTGTGGAAGGACAGAAGCCTCAAGCTGAAATAGCAATGTGGGACATTACATTACATCCCATCCTTCATTATCATGTTAATGTTTTTGGCCTCATTTGATAAATCATTTAAAAAGATAAGTTTTTTTCTATTTTTTTATTTCATTTCCTCCAACAGAAACTTGAAACTTCTTCTCTCTTTCCAATTAAAGAAAAATGAAAACCACAATTTTGTTCGTTTTTACTCAAAAATAACCTATTTATTATACTTCATTTTCTTGGAAAAAAAATCGATTAGTGGTCCTCTGGCTGCTGGATTCTGTTTCCATTTCAACAAATTCATGGTGACATACAGCTAATTGTGTGAACTAATAGATATATATATAGTCTTGAAGGTATGGACATTGCACATGAAGCCAGGTGGCATTCTGAGTTTTGATGGACTAGGCTTTAACAGGGGAAGGGAGATTAGGAGATAAAGAAATGAGTTTTTATTTTATTTTATATCACTTATAATATTTTGCTTTCAAGATTTTAACCCTAATTAATAAAATAGAAAATGAATTATCTTCGCTGAGTCCATCGTTCCACCCATATACCAAACCAATTAAAATACTCTCTTCGTTATCAAATATTTGCAACATTTGAGTATTCACGATTTTCGATATTTATAGTAGTTGATGATATTAGATATTTATGGATAAACATTGTTTTCCTATTGATTTAAGACAATTACATCAGCTGTCCATTGTTAGGTGAGTTTTCTGTAAGAGAAAGATGGGTTAAATTATAATTATAATTGTACATAACTAACCAATTATTGCATGTGATATAAGAATTAATGTTTCACTAAAGTTTTCTGCATCTAAATTATTGGTTTGTGGACCACATCCTTGTTACTACTTTATTTCAATAAAAAGATATGTTACTAATTCATATTACTATTATATGCATGCAAATATTTATTTCATAATATAAGAATAAATTATTTTTTTTATTAATTTGATTACCAACTCAACATCTTACATTGCACACCGAGACATAACCTAGTGATAAATATATGTACGACCTGGTTATAAATTTAAATTCGAATTTCCTTCCTCGTGAAAAAAAAAAAAAAACTCAGCATCTTACATTTTCAAAAGTTACAAGTGTTAATAGGTTATAATAAGGTTTAAAAATCAGTGCATCGGTGATGTGAGATGATGAAATAAAAATGTTTTG